AAAAAAAAAAAAAAAAAGGAATATCTGTTATAACATGTGGAAACTATAAATAAGTTCTTAGATTCTCAAAGATGTGATAAGATAGTGTAAAAAGAGAGTCCAATTCTCATGGCTTTTGTTTTTCTCTACAGTGTGTTTTTAGATATAACAAAGTATTTTTTTCAAGTTGTGAAATGGTATCAGTTTTATTTTTATTTTTTGAGTCGGAGTCCCACTCTGTCACCCAGGCTGGAGTGCAGTGGCATGCACGCTCACGGCCACCTCAGCATCCACCTTCTGGGTTCCAGCAATCCTTCTACCTCAGCTCTCTGAGTAACCGGAACTACAGACATGTGCTACCACGCCCGGCTAATTTTTTATTTATTGTAGAAACGCGGTCTCTACAATAAATGAGGCCCGGGTGAGGCCCGGGTGGGTCTCGAACCCGCGACAGGCCTAGGTAATCCATTCGCCTTGGCCTCCCAAAGTGCTGGGATTACAGGCTGAGCCACTGAGCCCAGCCTGGTATCAGTTTTAATCATGTGTTTATATATGTGTTCTCAGGAAGCTGAGGGAAGTGGGTTTTTTGTTTGTTTGCTTTTGAGTCAGGGACTCATTCTGTAACCTAGGCTGGAGTGCAGAGCCATGGCTCACAGCTCACCATAGCTGACCTCCTGGGCTCAGGCGCTCCTTCCACTTCAGCTTCCCCAGTAGCTGGGACTACAAGCACGTGCCCCACGCCTGGCTAATTTTTTTATTTTTTTTTTATTTTTTGTATATACTGGGTCTCACTATGTTGCCCAGGCTTGAACCCCTAAGCTCAAGCAATCCTCCTGCCCCAGTCTCCCAAAGTGCTGGGATTACAGGTGTGAGCCACTGTGCCCGGCCAGGAGATGGTTCTGAGGCAGAAGTTAAAGGTTTTGGGTGTCGGCTCAGCCACTAGGCACTGTGGTGTGTGTCGTGAAGGCGCTGGATGTCTCTGGATCTATTTCTTCATCACAGTGTAAAATATCCCCCACTCAAGGGACTGACATTTTATGAGCAGCAAATGATATTTATTTTTTGAATAAGCTTTACAATGTTAAAAATAGCATACAACTTGTAGAGAATGTTATTATTGGGATTTTATGTTTCCCAATAGTAATGTTTTCTTTTCTCATTTGAAAGCCGGTATGCTTCAACCAGTAAGACTCCCTTTCCTCTTTCTCTAGTTGTGAAGAAACTGGCTGACTTTGAACTCCCTTATGTCAGTCTTCAAAGTTCTGAAGTGGAAAACTGTATGGTTGGACTCAGGAAGTGGTGAGTAACCGCTTCAGGGAACGGAAGACGTTGGAGGACATCTCATCAGTCCCACCAGGACTTGTCAGAGTCTCACCACATCCTGCTCATAGCACGATGGCTGGATACCGGGAACCTGGGGAAGGTTGTGAGGAAGGCAATGAGAGGGTGAAATGAGCCAGATCGTTTGTCTTGAAGAATAGGATGCTGGCCGGGTGTGGTGACTCACACCTGTCATCCCAGCACTTTGGGAAACTGAGGCAAGAGGATCGCTTGAGCCCAGGAGTTCAAGACCAGCCTGGGCAATATGGCGAGACCTCTCCCTAAAATAATTTTTTTAAAAATTAGCAGGGCTTGGTGGTGCATGCCTGTAGTCCCAGTTACTTGGGAGGCTGAGATGAAAGGATTGACTGAACCCAGAAAGTCAGGGCTGTGGTGAACTGTGATCCTGTGACTGCATGCCAACTTGGGTCACAAAGTGAGACCCCAACTCAAAAAAAAGATTAGTATGTTGAGGATGACTTTCCCTGGTCTCTGGTAAACCTCAAGGGGTATTAAATGAGGATGGTGACCATCTATTGTGTATCTCTGCAGAGGTGCAAGTCAGGGCCAGAGGATATGGATTGAAGCAGTTCATGGCGGGAAATTACTGGCCATGGATTCACTGTGGAATGGATTACTGACAGCATTAAAGGAAGGATTATAAGCGGATCTGGTTCATCTGTTGGGTGTGGTGATCTCTGAAGGCAAAGGGTAGGAACTCGAAGTATTGGACTTACATTCCTAAAGGATGTGTACCAGGGTCACCCATATTCCTAGACTGACAGGACACAAGTAAGTGTCCTATGAAGAACAAACAGAAAATAGCAATGAGGCTGGGTATGGTGCCTCATGCCTGTAATCCCAGCACTTTGGAAGGCTAAGACAGAAGGATTGCTTGAGCCCAGGAATTCAAGACCAACCTGGGAAACATAGTGAGAACTCATCTCTACAAAAAAACCTAGAAACTAGCTGGGCATGAAGGCCTATAGTCCCAGCTACTCAGGAGGCTGAAGCACAACGATTGCCTGAGTCCAGGAGGTCGAGGCTGTGGTGAGCTGTGATTGTACCACTCACTGCACAATACCTATCCCTCCCCCACCCATAATCTGTAGTTCCCAGCATTTATGTATTACCATAGTTGTACTGAATTGTCACTTGGGTTCATTCTCTCCCAGCCCAGCTATTCTGTCACTGAATACGAAAGCTGTAGAGAAAGGCACTTTGAAACTAGGACTTGTAATTAGCTTGACCTTCGATGCCTGGCTCTAGAGCTCCAGTTTCTGACTTTGAACTTTAGAAAGATATTCCCAGAATGACTGGAAGTTCATATATCTGATGTTCAGAATGATTCAGAGAAATGATCAGAGTCTTGTGGTGTGGAACCCCAAGAAGGGGAAAAGGGCTCAGTTCCATGGAAGGATTTAGTGAATGGCTGTTCTGGAAGTTGCTTGGCTTAGTGAGGGGCTGAGCATGGCTGTTCCTGGGATCAGAGTATGTGAATGTAAGTTTCAGCTCTCTCAGGTTTTAGCTGCATAACCTCAGTCAAGTGTTCAAGCTCTCTTAGCCTCTGTTTCTTCATCTGTAAAATGGGAATATTAATAATAGTGTCTACATCATAGGATTATTTTGAGGTTTACATAAGGTAATCCCATGTGCTCACTGAGTTGCAATCATGTTTTTATTGTTGTATTAATGGTGATAATGATTATAGTAAGCAAGATAATCTCTGCAGCTTAGATTTTCAGCTCATATGCTCTCCTGAAAACTGGAGCTCAAGGGAGAGATGAGTTCTCATTCTATTAGTCCCAAAGGCACATTAAAGAGAGAGAGAGAGAGAAGCACTCTGTTCTTACCCCTGAAGCTTGAATCAGAAATTAGGATTTGCCCCAAGTCTTCATTAAATAGATCTAGATAATAAGCACAAGATAAGACATCAACCTAATCATGAGCCAGCCTCTCAGATTCAGTTAGATCATCTTTGCTCATGGGAACTTCTTTTATTAGAGCTGAGGATCCGATCTTCAGAAGGGAGACCTACTTAGTGTAAGCTCCTGTGGCAGAGGCAGGTCTCCCTGGGCAGGAGCAAGGAGGCTGACTCCAAAAGCTGTCTGATTCCCAGCAGGGGAGGTCTCCCAGTAAGGCATAGAGGGAGTCTTAAGGACTTTTCTGTATCCATGAGCTGCCTGGGTGCATCTCTCAAATACAGACATGGCCACCTCCAGACCAGAGGCTGCCTGCCCTGGTCTCTCAGGGTCCCAGTCTGGGCTGGGGCTGGGGGCTCTCCAGTGGTACAGCACTGGCTATCCTTTGCACACAGGGGCCTCTGGGATGTGTGGGTACATAGCTAAATGGAACGTGGGTTGCAAGCCTTCCGTGACTTCTCCCCAGAATGAAGGTGACCTTTAAGCCCCATTTTCATCCTTTTTTGGTCTCAGCCGACCCATCGGCCTGTTCACACCTTAGCTTCTGAGAGTAGTGACTCTGCTTACCTCTGCCTTCTGGTTGGTTCTAGATCAACCATTGTATATCCCTTCCTGACTGTTTCTGTCCCTTCTTAATATGCTACTGTGCTATAGAAACAGCTTTCAGTTCATCCTGGTGATTCTATATCTGACAGACAGACATGAGGCTCCTGCTGTTTGCAAGTCACTCTGTCACCTAGGCTAGAGTGCAGTGGCATGACCACAATTCACTGCAGCTTCAACCTCCTGGGCTCAGGCGATCCTTCTGCCTCAGACTCCCAAGTAGCTGAGACTCTAGGCATGTGACACTATGCCTGGTTAATTTTTTCTTTATTTCTATAGAGACAAGGTCTCGCTATGTTGCCTGGGCTGGTCTTGAACTCTTGGGCTCAAGCAAAGCTCTCGCCTTGTCATAAGAACTCTGGATAGGATTCAGCACCTGAGCTCAGTGGTCTTCACACCTGGTGTCAAGAAATCTTGATCAGAGCAGTGATCAGGATAAACTCAGGGTGCTGAGAAAGCACGGAAGATGGGTGGCTAACAAAGCCTTGGGAAAGGGAGCAGAGGAAGGAACATTGCTTGTGGCTTGCAGAGAAAAGTGTATCAATCAGGGAAGGAGGTTGGTGAGGGCAATCTTCCAGGCAGAGGGTGAGCAGAGCAAATATGGTTAGAAGGTAGCATTGGGGGTGAGGAGGGTAAGAGATGGGACTGGAAATGAAAGAGAGGTGGTCCCATGAAGTGCCTTGGTTACTCAGGAAAGACCACTCTGGTGGGGAGGCAGAGTGTGAGGTTAAGGGCACACAACTGAGGCAGGAAGCCTGAGGAGGAGGCTGCCAGAGCACTTGGGTGAGAGCTGAGGAGGGCCTGGGTGCAGGGTGGTGAATGTGGGCTGGGCCCATAGGGGATAGTTGGCCATGCCAGGCATTGACAGAAGAGGAAGGGAACCCAGGTACCCAGCACTTAGTGGTCAAAAGTGAGACTGGGTATGAACAGGGGTGCGGACTGCTTCCCTACAGCTTTATTTTTTGGCATCTCTACTCTCCAAGCCCACCAGGCGAGAGCTTTTAGTATAAAGAAATTCAGAAACGGCCAGGCGTGGTGGCTCACGCCTATAGTCCCAGCACTTTGGGAGGCCACGGTAAGAGGATAGCCTGAGTCCATGGGTTAGAGACAAGTGGGCAGCTTGGTGAGACCTCATCTCAACAATAAATCAAGAAAAATGAGCCAAGCTTGGCGGTGCATGACTGTAGTACCAGCTACTTGGAAGGTTGAGGGGGAAGAATCGCCTGAACCCAGCAGGTTGAGGCTGCAGTGGCCGTGAGTGTGCCACTGCACTCCAGCCTGGATGACAGAGTGAGACTCTGACTCAAAAAAAAAAAGAAGAAGAAGAAATTCAGAAACAAAAGAGGTAGAGAGACAAATGGAAGGCTTGCATGGCAGTGGAGCTTTGTTCGAAAAGGGGCCCTTGTTCAGAGGGCCAAGGGTCACCATGTTCAAAAGCACCTGCCTCCAGGTGCGCCATGAGCCATGTCATAGGAATTAACTGAACGCTTCTGAATGATGCAGGTATATGGACCCATCCCTTGACTCCATGCTGATGGACTGCAAAGCGGCCGTGGATTTGCTCTATATGCAGGTGAGGTCACCAAGAACTCTCAGGACACCGTACATTGTAGGCCATTTGGGTGTGGAATCATTAAAAAAAAGTGCGGTCATTAATAATTCTACCTCCATACCTAGAATAGGCAAACTGACAGAGGCAGAAAGTAGATAGAGGTTACTGGGGCCTGGGCTGCAGGAGGGGATGCTATTTTTTAATGGGTACAAGTTTTTGCTGGGGACTGATGAAAAAGTTTTAGGTATAGAGAGTGATGATGATTATACAACATTCTGAATAGTATATAATGCCACTGGATTTTAGGAATGGTTAAAATGATATGTTGTATGTATTTTACCACTATAAAAACAAAATTAAAAAAAAGAAGTAGGGGAGTTGTGAGACAGAGAAATAATTCTACCTCTATTTTAACACTGAATTTGCAGCAGATACTCTGTCATCGAGGCTAATTTGACATGAGCCCAGGGACTATGTCCCTGATAGTTTAAACCCTAAACCTCACTCTAGCATAACCTTCTTGAACCAACACGAAGCAGACCTACCCCTGGGTCCAGCTTCCAGGTCATGTGTCCTGTGTAGCTGCAGAGGGCTGGTGCTCAGAGTGCCCCATGCTTGTTAAAGACTCTGCTGTCATCATCTTGAAATCCTTAATAATTTTTGAACAGGGACCCCACGTCATTGTTTTGGGTTTTTTTTTGGTTTTTTTTTTGAGTTGGGGGATCTCTGTGGCCCTGGCTGCAGTGTAGTGGCATGACCACGGCTCACCGCAGCCTTGATCTGCTAGGCTCAGCCAATCCCTCCACCTCAGCCTTCAGAGTAGCTGGGACAACAGGGATGTGTCACCACACCCAGCCAGTTTTTTGATGTTTTGTAGAGATGGGGTCTCGCTATATTGTCCAGGCTGGGGGGTCCCCACATTTTCATTTTGCACTAGGTAAACCCACAAATTATAGAGTTGGTCCTGCCTACCCCATTTCCCAGCCTCTAAAAAGGTCATTGTAGTTGAGTCTTCATTTCCTATCCCTGCCCTGTGTGGTGAAAGTTCACCGAGCATTGAGATGGTGGCAGGTACCACTTCCTTGGTGCGCCCATGGTTGCTTGCCCCTATCACAGTTTTCCGCCTGCATCACCAGTGCCCCCAGGAGCTCACTCTCACCACAGCAGCATCTTCAGAGACCTGATCCTTGCCAGGCCTGGCTTGACAGTTCCGGGAGGGAGCACAGACACTTCTTCCAGGGGATATCCCACAACCTATTCTCAAGCAGCAGGCAGGGGGGCAGGTCATAGCCCTGCCTGTTCAGACTCTGCCAAGGCTTTCCATCTTGCTCAGACGAAACCTCAAATCCCAACGTACTTGTTTTATTTCTTTGTTAGTATTTCTACTATCGGACAGCACATGTGCGTGGGTATGTATTTGTTCACTCTCTCTCCCTACTAGAATGATTTTTTTCATGCAAGTGGATATTTATTTGTTCACTGCTACATCCCCAGAAACTAGAACTGTTCCTGGCACAACATCAGCATTAAGCCCTGTGTTGGGCCCAGCATTGTATTCATTGTTTTGTTTTTTTTTTTGTATTCATTGTTTTAAGTACATTGTTTCATTTAAACTTTATAATAACTCCATTAGGTGGTTGGCACCATTCACATTTCTAGAAAGAAGAAACATCAAGTTTGCAGACAAAGGACTGAGTGGTGAACTTGGGTTACCAGAGGATGTAGAAAAGGAACTTAACAAAACATGTTTACAGATGACTCTTTATTTTCATTTTTATTAGAGTTGAGTTCTCACTATGTTGTCTAGGCTGGTCTCAAACTGCTGGGCTCAAGCAATCTTCCCTTCTCGGCCTCCCAAAGTGTCAGGATTATAGGTATGAGCCACCATGCCCGGTCAGATGGCTTTTATTTAGTGTGATTCTAAGTTGCTACGCTCTTTAGCTTTTCATACACTTGAGAGGTAGAATTGAAGAGAGGGGAAAGATGGTAGATTGGTTTTTACTTTTGACAAGCTTTCCACGAGGACCCTTAGTAGAGCTTACTGTGGTACGCTGGGATAGCAAACAGGTCAATGGGTGGATTTTGATGCTCTGCCTTATCTAGGGACATAGAAGAGGAAAATAACCTCAGTACGTATTTATTTAAGTGACTTTTAAAGAAACCAATCCACAAAGCTCTCCAAATTCTAAAGAGGCAAATCAAAATATCACTTACTAAGTGTTTAAAGCTCACTATTGTATTTTTCTGGCTAAACTATAGCTTTGAGTTCATTTCTATGATACGTTGAGCCATGTCTAACCATGTTCCATTTACTTATACCTGTTATATGAATGGAAGTAAAACTTGCCAATTTAAGTGCTAATTGGAGCTCATCACCACTGTACCCTTGCTGTTATGATGCATTTTTAGTCATGCCTGGTATATTTAATATCATATCCTTGATTAAGAATGCATCACCGAATTCTGATATTGTTCCTATGGAAAATACAGTCTTCATGGTGTGGCTTTCAGTCCACATTGTGATGAGAGGTCAGGACTGCCAGCTTCCTACTATGATTTTTAAAATCTTAGGCCAGGTGTGATGGCCCAAAACCAATCCCAGCACTTTGGGAGGTTGAGGTGGGAGGATTGCTTGAGCCCAGGATTTCAGGACCAGCCTGGGCAACATAGTAAGACCTCATCTCTATCCAGAATCAAAATTAGCCGAACATGGTGACATGTGCCTATAGTCCCAGCTACTCAGGAGACTGAGGTGGGAGGATCACCTGAGCCCAGGAAGTTGAGGCTGCGATGAGCTGTGATTGTGCCACTGTCCCCAGCCTGGGCAACAGAGTGAGACTTTGACTCAACCAATCAATAAAATAACATTAAAAATTTTAATCTGTCTTCATTAAGGAGTTATAAACCATAGAAAAACGGATGATGGTATTTCCTCTGCTCACAGCTGGAAAAATGGTGGCTTCGTGGAAAACACACTACATTGTAGTTTCAGAAATGAATTCTGTCCCTTGCTCTGCCACTGGCCCTCTGTCTGTGTGACTCTGGGCCAGCCACTTCTGAACCACAGCATCTCCCTGTTGAATGATGAGGTTGAACTAATAATGTCTAAGTTTTTTCTCAACTGTAATGGACTGTTGTTGTTCAAACCTTAATGCTTTTCCTGGCAAAGTCTTCAAAAAATTATAGTTGCTGTCATAATCATCTTTACCTGTATCATTACCATCATGATTATATCTCCTGAATCCAAGGGGAGGAACTGAGAAGCTGATTTCTAGGCACGAGGTAGGCCCAATGGAAGCAAGAAAGTCAGGACCACTGCCTCCTTCGGGCTTCTCCGAAAGAAAACACCTTCCCCCCTCCCTGTTCCTATGGTATTCTGTTTATATCCTCTGTTATAACACTTTTCATCCAGAATTACTACTGGCTCACAGATGGCCCAAAACTAATCCCAACACTTTGGGAGGTTGAGGCGGGAGGATTGCTTGAGCCCAGGACATCACCAGACTCTGAATGACCAAGGGTAGAGACTATATCTTATTCCTCCTGTGTCCTGGGTGCCTAGAGTATATGAACAACTGAGAAACTGTCACCCTTTAAAAAAGTTAACCCAAAAAGCTCTTACAAGTTCTGAGAAACTGTCACCTTTTTAAAAAGTTAACCCAAAAAGCTCTTACAAGTTCTGATAAATAATGGAGCCATCATTGCTAACTATGAAGGGATAGTATGATTTTCTAAAGCAGAAGTATCTGATGATGTCTGAACTGGGTTCCCATAACCTGTTTCCTTTCTTCTCCTTTGACTTAAAATTAATTTAATTTTTTAATAGACACAGGGTCCCACCATGTTGCCCAGGCTGATCTTGAATTCCTGGGCTCAGGTGATCCTCCTGCTTCGGCCTCCTGAGTAGCTGGGACTATAGGTACATACCACTAAGCCTGGGTTCTTCCTTTGTAACTTGGGTGACATTAGAAAATGAGAGATTGCATTATAAGTATAATCTATAATTATAAAATTTGAAGGCTCTGTCAATTCTGAGTCTGCATTTCAGCAGGGCCACTGCTGGCCTATGCAATGGTGCAAATTAGAAAAAGGAGCTCCTTCCTCCAGGTGGATATAGCCTTGTGTCAGGGCCCTTGGCTTGTGAGGGGAGTGAGTGCTGACCTTTAACCTCCTGACATTCCCATGGTCCAGTACCCTTGTGTGGGCACGTTCATCCCTGGCCTTACTCTATCATGCTTCAGTCAGAGTTGAGTGACCACACCTGCTTTTGAGAGGCACATGTCTGCCATTCCTTTCTACTATGCCCTCTGTGGAAGGCACTGGAATGTGTGTAATTGAACCATGGCTTATACAATTTCACTTGATTTTTTTTTTTTAAGTTGGAGTCTCATTCTGTCACCCAGGCTAGAGTGCAGTGACACAATCATGGCTCACCACACTCTTGACCTCCTTGGGCTCAGGCAATCTTCCTGCCTCAGCCTCCTAAGTAGCTAGGACTACAGCTACGAATCACCATGCCCAGCTAATTTATTTATTTATTTATTTTTGTAGAGACAAGGTCTTACTGTGTTGCCTAGACTGGTCTCGAACTCCTGGGCTCAAGCAATCCTCCCAAAGTGGCCTCCCAAAGTGTTAGGATTACAGGCATGAGCTACCGCGCCCAACCCTTTTTATTTTTAAGGAACTGGATCTCGCTCTGTCACCCAGACTGGAGTGCAGTGGTGCGAACATAGCTCACTGCTGCCTCAACCTCCTGGGCTCAGTCATTCCTTCCGCATCTGCCTCCTGAGTAGCTGGGACTATGGGCGTGCCACCACTCCTGCCTCATTTTTAAACTTTTTGTAGAGACAAAGTCTAACTATGTTATCTAGGCTGGTCTTAAGTTCTTGACCTCAAACAATCCTCTCATCCCAGCCTCCCAGAGTGTTGGGATTGCAGGCATGAGCCACCATGCCTAGCATTGATTTTTAAAATTAGGTTCTGCATAAGTTCCTGGCAGCCAGTCTTCAGGGAATCATATAACGGTAGACACATTTGTCTAGACTTGACTCTCATTGTCTAGACCCACTTGGAGTCGGATACTGTATATAGCTCATTTGAGGGATGACTTGTGAACCCATATTCAGGGGCAGCTCATTGTCTAGACCCACTTGGAGTCGGATACTGTATATAGCTCATTTGAGGGATGTCTTGTGAACCCATATTCAGGGGCAGCTCTTTTCAAAGGTAATGAAACAAAACAGTTATGCTACCTTTGCTGTAGGATATTTGAATCTCTGTGTTTGAGAAATCTGATGATGAGTGGACAGGTCTCTGGTGTTACTGTGGTGATTCCTGTTCATTTTTCTTTAGCCACCCTTCCTCTCTGACATTGTCACCCTGTGCTAACAGGACTCTAACATAAAGTAGAGTTCAGGAAACAAGAAGTCATGCAGTTCTTCACATCCGTGCTGATTCCCTTCTGGTGTGGTGTGTAGGTTCAGTTTTGAGAACAGTTGGAAATAAGGAGAAAGGCTTGGGGATGGGGAGCTGCCCACTTGATAAGAATTCAGTGGCTTGTACAAGCCTAGGAAATGTAGTGGTCAGGCCTGGGTTGGGTCATCTTGAACATTATAACCTCTCTAAACCTCAGTGTACCCATCTGTCAAATGGTGGTAACTGTTTCTACCCCACATACTACAATAGTACCCCCTTACCCATAGTTTTGCTTTCCACAGTCTCGCTTTCTGTGGTTTCAGTTATCCATAGTCAAGGATGGTCTGAAAATATTAAATGTAAAATTACAGAAATAAACAATTTATAAGTTTTAAATGACATGTCATTCTGAGGCGCATGATGAAATCTTATGCTGGCCTAATTTGTCTAGCTCTGACAGTGAAGCATCTCTTTGTCCAGCGAATTCACACTGTCTATACCACCTGTCCATTAGTCACTTAGAAGTAATCTTAGGTATCAGATCTGCTGTTCTGCAGTGCCTGTGTTCAATTAAGCCATATTTTACTTAATTATGGCACCAAAGTGCAAGATAGTGATGCTGGCATGTCCCATAATTGCTCTATTTTACCATTAGTTATTATTGTTAATCTTCCTGTGCCACATTTATAAATTAAACTTTATCATAGGTTTGGTATGCATTTACAGGAAGAAAATATAGTATATACAAGGGGCAACCCCCCCCGCAAAAAAAACCCAGAATTATCTTTTGAGGGCAGGCCCCTTGTAGTGCACTAAGAATTTGTTCCTCTGGATCAAACGTTCAACCAAAATTTTTATCTGGAAGTCTGAAGAAGGTTACATCACGTTTTGTGGAAGAAACATCCTGAGATGTGGCAAACAGGTGACTGGTTCCTCCACCATTACAACGCACCTGTCTTCACGGTGCTGAGTGTTCAGTTTTTGTCCAAAAACAGCATGACCCCATGTCCCACCCTCCCTATTCACCCAATCTTGCCCCAAGTAACTTTTGTGTCCCAGATTTTAAAAAAAGGTCCTCAAAGGGAAACGTTTTGCCCATGTGGAAGAGGTGAAACAAAAACAGCAGAAGCACTAAAAGACATCAAAATTGATGAGTTCAAAAACTGGAGTAGTGGAAAAAGCATCTAGATGGGTGTATTGCATCAAACGGAGAGTACTTTGAAGTTGACTGAAGTTTAAACATGTAAGAATAAATATACAATTTTTATTAAAAGAATTTGGGGTTTTGGGGGGTTTTATAGGGTTCAGAACTATCTGTGGTTTCAGGTATCCCCTGGGGGTCTTGAATAGTATTCCTTGAGAATAATGGGGGGTTGCTGTACTGTAGTTGGGAAGAAGTCAGTGGGAAAACCTATCTGAAACAGGTTCTCAACAAATATTAGTTATTTTTCTTCTCCATTTTCCCCAACCTATGCCGCAGTATTTGAAATGATTCAACTTTTCATTCTTCTCTTGGAGATAAAGCATAACCTGCATCACTGAGAGATGGAATACATACACTTACGTCGAGACTAAGGTGTAAACAAGCACCTGGTAATTGGCAAGGAATAATTGTATGTTAGCTGAATGTGGGACACTGGGCAGGGTGCACTGAGATGAAGGGCTTGACAGCCTTAGGAGCAGTGGCCAATTCTGTCTCATGATGTTAAGTCAAAGCAGCACAGGCCTCGTGTATGCAGCTGCTGAGATGTGCAGCTGATGCCAGAGGCTCCCGGGCCAGTTGGCTGAAGGGGTAGGCAGCTGGGTGGCAGGAGGAGAAGCAAGAGCCCAGAAAAGGTGCCCAGAGCAGGAAGGCAGGCTACAGAGGCAGGCTTTGTCACTCGTGTTTCATTTTGCTTCACAGCATACTGCTTCCACAGAGGGCAGGTGTCTTCCAGGTGATCTCTGCCTTTGAGCCCAGTGTTGTTCTGCTTAGACTTGCCGTGGATCAGGAAGCAACTGAGAAACCCACTAGGGATATGAAATTTGCGAACACTTGCTGATAGTGGTTACCCAAAGCTGGACCAGACGGGGCCCAATGATATATTCAATTTTAATTTTTTAGAGTAAAATTTGTAAAAAAATTTTGCGAACATGGAAGAGCTCAAAAAAGTAGATGTCAACCTAAATCTTAAGTCAACCACCCAGATAAACTATTAGCTTTTGGGGTGTACTTCATATATAGTTCATTTATTTGCATATCCATATACTTGGTTCATTGGCATAAATACGAGTTTTTTATCATTTTGCTTTATATTTATTTTTTGTAGTTTTATTAAAATGGGGTCTACTATTAGACTCTTATTTTGCAACTTGATATTTTTTCATGTACCAATACCTTGCATATTTTTATCATGTTGTTAATTATTCTAATTTCAATAGCTCTGAGGGATACAAATAGTTTTTGGTCTGGCCTTTAAGAGTACCCACCCACCCCTACCTGTGCACATTGTACCGAGTAGATGACTTTTTTTCCCCCTCCATGCTATTTTATTTTATTCTACTCTGTAATTTAATTTAATTTAATATTTTATTTTAGTCAGGGTCTCACTACGCTGTCCTGGCTGGAGTGCAGTGGCACAATTATGACTCACCACAGCCTCAACCTCCTGGGCTCAGGTGATCCTTCTGCCTCACTCTTCTAAGTAGCTGAGACTATAGGTACACACCACCATGCCCACCTAATTTTTTTTATTATTTTTGTAGAGACAAGGTCTTGCTATGTTGCCTAGGTGGGTCTCGAATTCCTGGGCTCAAGCAATCCTCTTGCCTCAGCCTCCCAAAGTGTTGAGATTACAGGCATGAGCTACCATGCCTGGCCAATTATTCTACATAATTTTAAATATTAGCGTAGCCTATTATTTAGTTATACCCAAACTCAATTACCTATTTTGGGGCATTTCATAACAGCACCTACCTCACAGGGTGGCTGTAGGGATTGACTTTTGTTTTGGAGTGATTAGAACATTGCCTAACACACAATAAGCACACTATACATGTGTTTGCCACTATTAATAAGTTGAAATTTTTTCGTTATTACGAACAATGATGGTAATGGCATTATCACTATATTTTTTCCTTGGGTCTATGTTTATGACTCAGATATATCTGGCATTTGGAATACTTTTTTGTAAATTGCCAGTACATCTCTTTTGTCCATTTTCCTATTAGGAATGCTTACATTTTCCTATTGCTTTACATAAATATTAACTCATTGCTATAGGATGCAGTCATTTTCCTTGGTTTGCCATTGGATTCTTAGCTTTGTTCTTTGTGGTCTTTATGTACAGACATTTTATATTTTCACTTAATTCTATATTACTATTTCTTCATTGTGATAGTTTGTCTTTATATCTTTTTTTTTTTTTTTTTTTTTTGAGTTGGAGTCTCACTCTGTCACCCAGACTGGAGTGCAGTGGCCGTTCCCGGCCACTGCAGCCTCGACCTGCTGGGTTCCGGCGATCCTTCCACCTCAGCCTTCCAAGTAGCCGGAATTACAGGCATGCGCTACCACGCCTGGCTGATTTTTTGGTTTATTGTAGAGATGAGGTCTCGCTGCCCAGGCAGGTCTCGAACCCGCGGGCTCAGGCAATCCACTCACCTCAGCCTCCCAATGTCTTTGTATCTTAAAAAAGATAGTCCCTACCTCAAGATCTGTTTTAAAAAAGTCATTTTTGTTTTTTCCTAGCTCTTTTATTTTTTTTTAACATTAAAATTTTTTTTTTGTTTTCTGGGGTTTTTTTAGGTGGAGTCTCACTCTGTTGCCCAGGCTGGAGTGCAATGGCAAGATCACAGCCACTGCAGTCTCAACCTGCTGGACTCAGGCATCCTTCCACCTCAGCCTCCCAAGTAGCTGGAACTACAGGCATGCACCACCACACCTGGCTAATTTTTTGATTTATTGTAGAGACGAGGTCTCACCATGTTGTCCAGGCTTGTCTCGGACTCCTGGGCTCAAGCAATCCTCCTCCTTATGCCTCCAAAAGTTATGCAATTACAGGTGTGAGCCACTACACCCGGCCTTACATTGAAATCTTTACTCTCTCTAGAATTAATTTGATTGGGTAGTGTGGAGAAAGAGCTAATTTTATTTTCTTTGCCAAGTGCTGCCAATTATCCCCAAACTGTTGAACAATCTCTTTTTACCCGCTAATTTAAAAAGTAACCTTTAGAACTTGCCAAGTCCTTAAATAGATATCCACTTGGATCTATTTTTATTGTCCTTCATACACGAGTAGGTTTTTGTTAGATTAGCTAATTTCTGCTGAGGTTGCTAATTTTGCAACTTTTGTTGTTTTAAGGCAATACAGGACATGAAAAAAGAATGGACCAAACCTACCCAGGAGCAGAGGCAGAAATTAGAGGCGCTCCAGAAAGAAGACAACCAAACCAAGGTGAATTAATATTGTGCCAAGAGCAATCCTTTGAAAGGGAGTTAAAGAAACGTTGGACTGGCGCTGTGTCTGTAATTTATAAACCCACCAAACACTGAAAGTGAGGCTCTTTTTAAAAATGAAAACAACTTCATGGGCTTTTCTGATTTTAAAGCTAATAAAAGCTGATTGTTCAAATGTTCTAACGAATACAGACAGTATATTGGAGTCCTTTGCCAAGTTAATTAATATAGATCCTCCCCATTATTTTTAGTGACTGCAGAGTATTCTATTTTATGGCTAGGTTATCCTCTGGCTAACCACTTTTCTATGATAGGAAGTCAGGTTGTTTCCAGCTTTGTTGCTATAAATCGCTTGGGCGGGGGCAGAGAAGTGGGGCGGGGCAGGGTGGGGGGTGGTGCCATGAAGCCCACAACTGTGTCTAATTTATACATACTCTATGTAGACACAGCACCTGGTGCAGTTCCTGGCTGAAGACCCTGAACGCTGCAGCCAACATCCTCTGTCTTTCAATATGTATTCTATTATTCCTTGGGATATATTTCTAAACATCCATGTTTAAAGCTTCCGTAAAGGTGATACCAACTCACACACCTCTTGCTCCCAAGCAGTGAGTGTGAGTCTGACAAAGAAGTTTTGGTTGTTGTTTTTTTTTGAGTTGGAGCCTTACTCTGTCCCCCAGGATGAAGTGCAGTGGCACGCTCACAGCCAACCCAGTGTCGACCCGCTGGGCTCAGGTGATTCTTCCGCCTCAGCCTTCCAAGTAGCTGGAACTACAGGCGCGTGCTACCACGCCCAGCTAATTTTTTTTTTGATTTATTGTAGAGCTGAGGTCTTGCCAAGTTGCCCAGGCAGGTCTCGAACCCGCGGGCTCAGGCAATCCACTCACCTCAGCCTCCCAAGGCACAGGATTACAGGCTGAGCCACCAAGCCCGGCAACAAGAAGTATTTTTAACAGAAGAAATGGCCTCTGCTTCATTGCTTTGTCTTTTTTCATTCTTTTGACTTTGGCAATGTTCACAACTACAACATTGACTCTGAACAAAATACAACCAAAATTTAGGGATCTCATTTATAGTTAGGTTGATACAGAGACTAATTATTCAAGGATTTGGACACTTTAAGATTTTATTGATGGGCTGCAAAAAAGAAAAAGAAAAAGACACGCACTGCCATGATTTCTTATTTTTCTCCCTTTTGTTCTACCTCAACTTTGTCAAAATATTTAGAGTTCAATTTCTCTATGTGTTTGTAAATCTTGACAATTATAGCTTCTATTTTTTTCTCATCTCTTTATTTCAACAGCTTTTTTGGGGTACAAATTGTTTTTGGTTACTTTGATGTACCATATAGTGGTGATACAGCTTCTGTTTTGATGGGCAGAATATTGCTGCTACTTTGGATGCAATTTCAAATTGTGTATACCACAATCAATTCTAAGTATATATCTGCCCTGTAAACTTCTTTATTTAGTAAGACTTTGTTTTTACCTTGATAGTTTTCCCTAAAATAAACATTTTATTGTTATGATAAACGTTTTATCTGAATGTACCATATGATTGTAATAATACTTTTTTAAAAACTTTACTTGGAGTACATAAATTAAATGAAAAAATTGCATCATTATTGAAATTACCATATTTTCTCTCAAAGCATCTAAATGTACCAATATACAACTAGCATTATTTGTGAAATTCTGCTAATGGAGCAAACACATTAACAAATAGAATTTATGTACATGTACAAGAAAACTTGGAATTGAAAATGAGTTGAAATTAATCTAAAAAAGAGCCATTTGATCTAAATCAGACATAGGCTAACTATGGGCCACTGTTTTTGTAAATAAAGTTTTATTGACACACATTTACACTCACTCATTTACACATTGTCTAATGTCTGCTTTTGTGCTACAGTGGCAGAGGTGTGGAGTTGCGATAGAGACCATATGCCTGTTACTATATGGTTCTTTACGTAAAAGTTTGCCAACAGTGACCTAAGTGAAAATATATAAAAACCTTCTGCAGCTTTGTATGTTAAATTGTCTTTTTCAGGTACAGTCTTAAAAAGAGCTAATTTTTAAAGTAGATAAGCCTTTCAGACTTCTGTCCTTTGGTTTCTGTGTAGTAAATAATATCACAACACCCTTTTGTTGACTGGAAAATGTCAACAAGCAAATGCTGTCGTTAAAGGTGTGAGCCACCATGCCCAACCTAAGAAAAGGCATTTTAAATGTATGCTTTTTAATTACTTGCTGTTATAGTCTGCTGAGACAAAATCATATCTACTCATTCATTTTATTCACTCTTACCTTTGTTCTTCATTCCCTCATTGAATATTTTCATTCCCACCATGTACCAAGCACCATAACAGATGCAGGGGTACAATGGTGAAGGAGTTAGGAAGATCCCTGCCCTGGAAGGACACACCTTGAACTTTCCCAGGGCTTCCCATCAGCACAAGGGGCATTGTTTTCTTTCCTAGGGTCCAGAAGAAATGGCTTAATTCCATACATTCTACCAGAATGGCAGAAGCTTCTGTTATGAGGTTTTTATCTGCTTCAAGTGTTCTCTGACTTTCTTCTACCCCTCAAACTCTTCGCCTTTTTGGAGCAGTTTTTGGAGCTGGCCCAGGAAGTGCAGCACTACGGATACATGCAGCTGGACCTCTGTACCTGCGACTACCCAGAACCAGGCTGTGGGACTGTTCTTTCTGTCGGCAATAACGAAATCAGTTGCTGCATCACCCTGCCTGATAACCACACCCAGGACGTTGTTTTCCAGATGAACAGGGTGAAGTGTTGGCAGGTTACTTTCCTTGTGAGTGTCTTGGCACCTTGCTTTTTGCCCATAATTTGAAGTCTCCACCCATGATTTGAAAATCCTGTTGCTCTTGGATGACACAGTTGGCACTAGGGAGCTGGGTTTGCCATTAGAATCAGTACCCCAAGGGGTATGGCATTTAAGCCACATTAAATACTACCTGGTGGGTTGGACATGGTGACTCATGCCTATAATCCCAGCACTTTGGGAGGCTGAAGTGAGAGGATTACTTGAACCCAGGAGTTGGAGGCTGAGGTGAGCCGTGATTGTGCCACTGCACTCCAGACTGCTTGACAGAGTGAGACCCTGACTCAAAAAAATAAAGTAAAAGCTAACATACCTACTTGTCAAATCCCTGGGATTCCTGGCCTCATGCTTGACCTCTCTGTGGTATTTGATATTGTCAGCCTTTCTTCCTTCTCAAAACTCCCTCTCCTTCCTCCTCTGTTTCTGTGGGCCACCTCTCCCTCTGAGCCCTCCTGAAATGCTGGTGTTCCCTGGGGTTCCATTTCTAGCATCTTTCCTCTGCATACACTCTGAAATCAATTGCTCAGATCCCTCTCAGAGGTCCAGTGTTTTCTCCTGCCTCTGGCCAGTTTCCCAGGATATGTCACTCGCATCTCAAACACAAGCTTTCTCCTAAGCCAGCTTGCCGCTTCCCTCTCATACCCGGCACAGAGTTCTTCCTCCTGTGCTCCCCTTCTCAGTACATTGGACTTTTGCCACCACCCCCTAATTGCCAAAGAACTCTTGAAATGATCTCTGGCTGTTCTCTCTCTTACCCTACACATTTAAGTGCTGATGGAAGCCTATCCCTTCTACAGCCTCACTATCCCTCGAAAATGGATTGCACTTTTGGTGTGAAGTCTAAGAACTTGCTAAATCCTGGATCCTGAAGTTTTCTTATGCATTGTTTTGTTTTTGTTTTTTGCTGAAAGTTTTATAGTTGTGGGTTTTACATGTGAGTCCATGTTCCATTTTGAGTTAATTTTTGTATGAGGTCTGAAGCATAAGGTCCCGTTCCCTCCTATTTTTTTGCCTGTGGAAGTCTAGTTGCTCCCATACTGTTTGCTGAATTGGCTATCCTTCCTCGGTTGCTGGTTTTTATATCTTTGTAAAAAGTCAGTAGGATATGTTTGTGTGGATCTATCTCTGGGTTCTCTGTTGTATTTTTCCAGCATACTCCTCTACCAATACCACACAACCATGTCTTTCTTTGCAACAGTTTTATTGAGATCTAATTCATATACCATATCATTCACCCATATAAAGTCTACAATTCAATAGGATCTCGTATAGTTACAGCATTGTGCAACAATCACTACAATTTTAGCACACTTTGTTACAAAAAAGAAGCCCCATGCCCATTGCTGTCCCTTCCTTACCCACCCCCCCCACCCCCCAGTCCTGAAAAAAAACACAATTCCACTTTCTGTCTCTATGGATTAGATTTTCCCATTCTGGACATTTCATATTAATAGAATCATATAATATGTGGTCATTGCAACTAACTTTTTACTTAGCATAATGTTTCCAAGGTTCATCCTTGTAGCATAAATTGATACTTTATTCAAGTAATGTTCCATTGAGTAGACATACAATTTTAATGTATCCATTCATTCATTCACTCATTGATGGACATTTGAGTTGCTTCTACCTTTTGGCTGTTATAAATTATGCTACTATAAACATTTGTGCACAAGCTTGTATGTAGGCACATGTTTTTATTTCTCTTGGGTATATACCTAGCAGTACAGTTACTGGGTCAAATGATAATTCTATATTTAACTTTTTGAGGACCTGCCAGCCTGTTTTCCAAAGTGGCTGCACCACTTCATAACCCTACCAGTACTGTATAGGGGCTTTGATTTCTCCACATCCTTGTCAGCACTTGTTATTATCTGATTGTTGTTGTTATTTTATCATAGCTAACTTAATGGGTATGAAGTGACATCTTATTGTTGTTTTACTTCACTATTTTTTTTCTCTCTCTGCTTCATTTTGGGTAGTTTTTATTGCTATGGCTTCAAGATTACTGATATTTTCTTCTGTGACATCTAACATTGCCATTATCTCATCCAGTGCATTTTTTACTTCGAATATTTATTTTTCATCTCTTGAAGTTCCATTTAGGTTCTTTTAAAAAATAGTTTACATTTTCCTTATCATGTATCTCTTTTTCTCCAATTCCTGAGTGTATGAAGACTTTTATTTATTTATTTATTTATTGACACAAGGTCTTGCTCTGTCACCCAGGCTGGAGTGATCATTGCTCACTACAGCCATGAACTTCTGGGCTGATTCTCCCACCTCAGCCTCTGAGTAGCTGGGACTACAGGCATGAACCACCACATTCCACTAATTTCTTTTTTCTTTTCTTTTCTTTCTGTTTTTAGAGAGATGAGGTCTTGTTGTGTTGCCTGTTGCCCAGGCTTGCATGGCATATGTTTTAAATACCAGTTTTACTATTTTTGTCTACTAATTCCATCATCTCTGTCATTTCTAGATCTGTTTCTATTGATTGAGTTTTCTCCTGTCTGCAGATCTTATTTTCCTTCTCATTTGTGTGCCAGGTAATTTTTGTGGTGTGCTAACCACTGCAAAACTGACATTGTTGAATGCAGATCGCTACTGAATGTCTTTGAGATTAGACTTTCTTCGGGCTCGCAGTTACATTGCCTGGGACTGGTTTTACTTTTCTGAGGCCTGCTTTCAAACTTTCTTTTTTCTTTTTTTTTTGAGTTGGAGTCTCACTTGGTCGCCCAGACTGGAGTGCAGTGGCCGCTCCCGGCCA